GAGAGGGTGTACGGGAACATCTGATTTTGAATGATTTTTTTAAAAAATACAAACATTGGATTAATCATGGGGAATCTTACGTGTCTCTGCATGATAATCGAGAGAATGAAACATTAACTAATTTAGACATTGAGGATGATATGAATGGAATGATACAAGGGGCTATGGGAAATCCACATGCCGGTACAAGTGTTGAGGGTAATGAACCATAGGGGCCTGATCCCCATGCATCCGAACCCTAGCTCGGTCCAAATACAGAGACTGCAAAGTATTTCAAACTTCTTCAAGATGCACAAAGTGAATTGTATCCGTGTTGTCAGAAGTTCACATCTGTGTCATTCATTGTTCGACTTCTATATTTGAAAGTGCTTAATTAGTGGACAGACAAGTCTGTTGACATGTTGCTTGAGTTATTGAATGAGGCGTTCCCGTTGGGTGTGAAACTCCCGGACTCATATTATAAAGCTCAAAAGGTCACAACAGATTTGGGCTTCACATATGAGACGTGGGATGTATGTCCCAACAGTTGCATGTTGTTTCAAAACGAGGACGTCAATCTTGATAAATGTGTCATATGCAACAATTCTAGATGGAAATCAAATGGTGATGGTCGTTCAAATGGTCCTAACAAAGGTGGCAAACGAATAGTTACAAAACAGATGAGGTATTTTCCTTTAAAGCCAAGGTTACAGAGATTGTTTATGTCATCCAAGACGGCCAAGTTAATGAGATAGCAAGCAGAGGAACGAACTGATGATGGTGTCTTTAGGCATCCTGCTGACTCCTTTGCATGGAAAGATTTTGACCGTCGGAATATTGATTTTAGTAATGATTGTCGAAGTGTAAGGCTTGGCTTAGCATCTGATGGTTTTAACCCATTCAAGACGATGAACATAGTTCATAGCACTTGGCCTGTTGTGCTCATTCCATACAACTTGCCGCCATGGATGTGCATGAAGCAACCATTTCTAATTTTATCCGTGCTTATTGACGGCCCGAAAGGACTTGGTGACAAGATTGATGTGTATATGCAACCGTTGATTGAGGAGTTGAAAGAACTATGGAATGACGGTGTGTCAACATTTGATGCATCAACAAATCAAATGTTTCAAATGCATGCAGCTTTACTGTGGACAATTAGTGATTTTCCTGCATACGTAAACTTGTCAGGATGGAGCACTAAAGGCGAATATGCATGTCCTTGTTGCAACAAGAAAACTATATCGTGTTGGTTGAAGCATAGTAGGAAACAATCATACTTGGGTCATCGCAGATTTTTACCTAGTGGCCATAAATTCCGGAAGGATAAAGTATCATTTGATGGTAGTCGGGAAGTCAGACTCAAACCAAAATTGTTGTATGGAACTGAGATGCTACTACAATTAGAATCAGAATCTGAGGGTATTTTAACCCAATACAAGACGGATGACCTTAACGAGAGGCATAAGAGACAAGTAGAGAAGAAGAAAGCTGGACATCGCACCCATAGCTGGAAGAAAAAGAGTATCTTTTATGAACTACCATATTAGGAGCACAATCTAATAAGACACAACCTCGATGTGATGCATATAGAGAAGAATGTTTGTGACAATGTGCTGTGGACAATGTTAGGGGTTGCAGGAAAATCGAAAGATAGTGTTAATGCTCGGCGTAATTTACAAGATATGAATATTAGAAAACCCCTACATTTGCAGTTAAGAGGGTCGAATATAGCTTATTTACCACCAGCACAATTCACGATGACCAAGGATAAGAAATATTTGTTCTTGAAAGTGTTGAAGGAAGTAAGAGTTCTTGATGGGTATTCATCCAATATATCACGTCGTGTGTGCTCACATAATAGAAGTATTGGGGGTCTTAAGAGCCACGATAGTCATATTCTGATGCAACAACTTATTCCATTGGCTATTCGAAAATCGTTACCGAAGAATGTAATTGAACCCTTGATTGAATTGAACAATTTCTTTAGACAATTGTGTTCCAAAGTGAATCGTGCGACGGATTTGCAAAATATTCAAGATCGTATCGCCGTAACACTTTGTCATCTAGAGAAAATATTTCCTCCGACTTTTTTTGATATAATGGAGCACTTGCCTATACATCTAGCTGATGAAGCATTATTGGGTGGAGCGATTCAGTTTCGATGAATGTATCCAATTGAGAGGTATCTTCTTACTTTGAAGCAATACGTGCATAATAGAGCTCATCCTGAAGGATCAATTGCTAAAGGATATCTTATGGAAGAATGCATGAATTTTTGTGCACAATATCTCAATGATGTGGAAACCAAATCTAGTCGACTCGTGAGGAACTATAGTGCTGATGATAATTTGGGTCATGCTATTGGTGAAAACACAAGCTTTTATCTTGATAATACTTCTTGGGTACAAACTCATCGGTACATCTTATTCAATACAAGCATGGTTCAACCATTCATAAAGTAGGTTATGTCACTCACTCACTATTTTATTATGTTTTATTGAATTTTGAACCAAATTTTTTGTATTGATAAATTTTCAATCTACACAACAAACACCTTGAAGTACTTAAGCTCAAAATGCCTCGTGTCGACGATCATCAGCTTCGGCGTGAGCATTTTGAAACTTTTTACATTTGGTTCAAGGAATATGTATGTATTTAAGTCTACAGATTCTAGTTACTTAAGTCGAACTACATTTTAAATTTTACATTTTTGTTTTAAATAGGTCCAAACTTTACGAAGGACTACTGATGTCATATTTTCTGAAGAGATTATTCTATTGGCAAATGATCCTCATAACCTGGCAAGGAGGTTCAACGGGTATATAATGAATGGGTTTCGGTATCGAGTAAAGGCCATGGATGATCGTCGAGCCACACAAAATTGTAGTGTAGCTTTGAAGGCAGATACCATAAGTTATGCTAGTTGGAAAGACAAGAATCCTCGTGTGGGGTCTGTGTACTATTATGGACAATTGACAGATATTGTTGAGATTCGATATTCCAATGAGAAGAAACATGTGTTGTTTAAGTGTGATTGGATTAACAACATTCACGAAAAGAAAGAAGATGTTTTCAATTTCACGTTAGTGAACTTCAATCATTTGTTGTACTGAGATGATCGAATTACCAATGAACCTTTCATCTTGGCATCAAGCAGAGCAAGTTTGGTATGTTGTAGACCTGTTACAACCAGACTGGCAAGTGGTGGTGAAGATGTCTCAAAGAGGTTTATTTTATATGAGTTCGACTGATCCACAAATCGAGCCATATACGAGCCAACAATTGGAAGAGAATATAATGCTTCATGATGAAGAAGTTGGTTCGGTGAGGGAAGCCGTAGAAGGGGAAACAGTTGATGTTCAAATAGACTGATATTTAATCAACATCAGTAATTGAATTAAGGCCAAGGTTGCAGTTAATCATCAGTTTCTTAATTTACTTTGTCTTTGTAATTGTATTAGTTCAATTAATGTCATATTATAGTTGATGACAAACCATTGTCTATGTTTCTAATGTCAATTAATGTTATATTGCTTGCAGATTATTATGGGAAGGAAGAGGAAGCTTGATCATCCCCTGTGCATGATGTCCGATGTGGTACATAACAGGACATCAGTAACACCACCATCAGAGGAGGCATTACATCGGCCACCATCGGAAGGGCCATTAGTGCCACCACCATCTGACCAGCCATCGCAACGACCACTATTACTGGCACCATCATTAGAGGAGGCATCCCAGTGACTACCATCAGAGGGGCCATTAGTACCACCGCATCGACCACCATCAGTGGCACCATAGCAGCTATCATGTACTCAGCCTCCACGCCTACCATCGGTGCGTCCACCATCAGTGTCACCATAGCAGCTATCATCCCGACTAGAGTCATCAGCCTATGAGCCATCCGCAGGTATATAAATTTGCTTTGATTTGTATGAAAATTATTTAAATATACATTTATTTATTCTCATTATATATAACTTGTTTATTCTCATTGTATTTTGCAGACCCTTCGACTTCTTCACAGCCCACCTTAGGTATAAGAATTAGATTTGTATTGACATTATTTAAATTTGCATTTGTTTATTATCATTGCATATTATTTATTGTTATTGTATCTTGCAGGTTATGTTAGTTCTTCATCAACCTCGACTAGGCGTGGTAGAGGATGTGCCAAGGGCATTAGGGAGTGGGGTACTGGTACAAAGTTGGACATACAATTTGATGAAAATTACTGCCCAATAGGGGATAACGTGTCTAAGTTAACTACTCATCTTGGCATTATTGTGCAGAATGGTAACATTATTCCTCTTACTTTTCTTGACTGGAACAATTTGCCTGATGATATCTTGATGCTATCTGGAAGGATGTGAAGGTAAAAGTATATTTTTGTCCAAAAATTCAAATTCCAAAATTGTGTTATTATTATTTAAACTTTGAAATTGTGTTTTATAGGACAATTTGAATATATGTCCAGAGGAGTATAAGCCAATCTGCATGAAAACCTGCAACAACATATGGAAAGATCACAAGAATAAGATAAACACTAAGTATTTCAAGCCTAGAAGTTGTGATCCTAATTTGAAGGATGATGTTCCTTTACACATTGTGCCAAGCCAATGGAAAGAACTTGTGGAGTATTATTTATTGTTATTGTATCTCGCAGGTTATGTTAGTTCTTCATCAACCTCGACTAGGCGTGGTAGAGTATGTGCCAAGGGCATTAGGGAGTGGGGTACTGGGACAAAGTTGGACATACAATTTGATGAAAATTACTGTCTAATAGGGGATAACGTGTCTAAGTTAACTACTTATCTTGGCATTATTGTGTGGAATGGTAACATTATTCCTCTTACTTTTCTTGACTGGAACAATGTGCCTGGTGATATCTTGATGCTATTTGGAAGGATGTAAAGGTAAAAGTATATTTTTGTCCAAAAATTCAAATTCCAAAATTGTGTTATTATTATTATTTAAACTTTGAAATTGTGTTTTATAGGACAATTTGAATATATGTCCAGAGGAGTATAAGCCAATCTGCATGAAAACCTACAACAGCATATGGAAGGATCACAAGAACAAGATAAACACTAAGTATTTCAAGCTTAGAAGTTGTGATCCTAATTTGAAGGATGATGTTCCTTTACACATTGTGCCAAGCCAGTGGGAAGAACTTGTAGAGTATTAGCATACTTCCAATGCTGAGGTATACAAATAAATTATATGTATGATATTTAAACATACAAATCATATTTATATACTTACATTTGTTGGACCTATTATAGAAAATTGCAACAGGAACGCTAAAAATCAACGAGCTCACGGCATAGCTCATACCACAGGGCGTACTACTTTTGCTCAGATACGACATGAGGTTTAAATTTTATTATTTTATTTTTGTATACAAATAAACATTGTATATTTGCAAATTATTTGGATTCTAATTTTCATATTTCTAAAAAAATCTAGATGACTAATAAGGGGGAGTCTATTGATAAGATGAATGTTTGGCTTATGACACGTAGAGCAGATGACCCTGAGATTATCCAGACCTTGGTAGTTTCAAACACCTAACATTGTATTTAAAGTTTATTTTTTATTTTTTGTGTGTCAACCATCTTAATTTCACATATGCTTGTATGTCTTATTCAATACAGGATGAGTTTAATCGTCAACTCTCCATGCTACCTAAGGATTATCAGACTTTGGAGGCTGGGAATGCCATTTTCCATGAGTTGATAGGTCATGACAGACATGGATATTGTCGCACATATGGGAGAACTGTGCCTCGGAGAGCAGTGTATAAAGACAGGACAGGGCTATCACAGTCAACACCCCAAGCATCGACTATTGTTCAGATCACCCAGCAAGTTCGTGTGGAGCTAAGGGATGAGTTGAGAGATGAGCTGAGGAAGGAGATGTGAGCAGAGTTCTCTACACATTTATAGTAGATGAGAGCTGAGATGATGGCCTTTGTGTCACAGGGGGCGAGTGTGGATCCCAACAGACAGGTTTGATATAAATTAAATTGTTTGATAGTTAAATTTTCACACAACATATATGTACATATGTATAATAAAATTTGAATATGATTAATTATGTATTGACTATCATAGGTTCCTGATGCATTGAGTGGCCACCGGGCATTTAGGGAATCTACAGGAGATGAGAATCCATATACACCACCACCAGAAGATCAGGTATAAAATGTATCTTTGCATTCTAAGCTAAGACTAACCATAAATTAACTGTACACAACCTAAATAGATAGACGCTAGGCACGAAACTTGGCACACACGACCGCCTAGGCACGAGAGACTTGTGGAAGAAGACGAGACTCCAATCGGGTTCCCGGTTTGGGAGTTAGAGCCGGATTTCACTATTGGCAAACTAGTTCCTTAAGAAACTTGAATTGGAGGTGTTGACGCCCCAAAATCACCAAACGGCATCGGTTTAGCATCAAACTTGGCACACACCACCGCCTCGGTACGAGAGACTTGTGGGAGAAGACAGGACTCCAATCGGGTTCCCGGTGTGGAAGTTAGAGCCGAATTTCACTCTATGCAAACTAGTTCCTTAAGAAACTTGAATTGGAGATGTTGGCGCCCTAAAATCACCAAACGGCGTCGGTTTAGCATGAAACTTGGCACACACGACCACCTAGGCACGAGAGACTTGTGGGAGAAGACGGGACTCCAATCGGGTTCCCGGTTTGGGAGTTAGAGCTGGATTTCACTCCAGGCAAACTAGTTCCTTAAGAAACTTGAATTAGAGGTGTTGACGCCCCAAAATCACCAAACGGCATCGGTTTGGCACGAAACTTGGCACACACGACCACCTAGGCACGAGAGACTTGTAGGAGAAAACGGACTCTAATCGGGTTCCCGGTTTGAAAGTTAGAGCCAGATTTCACTCTAGGCAAACTAGTTCCTTAAGAAACTTGAATTGGAGGTGTTAACGCCCTAAAATCACCAAACGGCGTTGGTTTAGCACGAAACTTGGCACACACTACCGTCTAGGTACGAGAGACTTGTGGGAGAAGACATGACTCCAATCGGGTTCCCAGTTTGGGAGTTATAGCCGGATTTCACTCTAGGCAAACTAGTTCCTTAAGAAACTTGAATTGGAGGTGTTGACGCCCCAAAATCACCAAACAGCGTCGGTTTAGCATGAAACTTGGCACACACGACCGTCTAGGTACGAGAGACTTGTGGGAGAAGACGAGACTCCAATCGGGTTCCCGGCTTGGGAGTTAGAGCCGAACTTTACTCTAGGCAAATTAGTTCCTTAAGAAACTTGAATTGGAGGTGTTGACGCCCCAAAATCACCAAACGGGGTCGATTTAGCACAAAACTTGGCACACACAACCGTCTAGGTACGAGAGACTTGTGGGAGAAGACGGGACTCCAATCGGGTTCCCGGTTTGGGAGTTAGAGTCGGATTTCACTCTAGGCAAACTAGTTCTTTAAGAAACTTGAATTGGAGGTGTTGACGCCCCAAAATCACCAAACGGCGTTGGTTTAGTACGAAACTTGGCACACACGACCGCCTAGGCACGAGAGACTTGTGGGAGAAGACGGGACTCCAATCGGGTTCCCGGTTTGCAAGTTAGAGCCGGATATCCATCTAGCCAAAATTATTTACTCAATTATCTTTGTAATTATATAGTAGTTAATTTTTTATGTTTTTTTTGTAATTAAAATATTAACACATAATTATATTGTCATTAATTATTTTTATTTTTTGTTTTCAGATATTCCCGAGTAGCAGTTTGCTTTTATGGTATACAGGCGTTTGAAGATTGTGATTTACTTTTATTTTTGTTACCCATGGAAGAATCATGAGGGAAACTTTTGTTTTTGATTTACGTTATTTTGAATTGTGAACAACATTATGTATTTAAACATTGTGTATGTATTATGCAATATTATGTAGTGGGATAATTTTGCTAATATGTTGTAATGAATGAATGCAAGAAAATTTTTATTATGGATGAATTGTTATTTTTATACTAGAATTTTTATATTATTATGTAATTATTGGTTTCTTTTTCAATTATTTGTCATTTAATACAGATAATTTTTATATTTTTAATAATTTTATTACAGTGTTTTTTTTTTTTAAGACCGCACCACATTACCGTCGCAAATAATATTGGCAGAATTGAAGTAAAGCCTTTTGCGACAGTACCCTTAGTCGTCGCAAATACTCTTTTAGCGACGGGCATCGTGCTGTCTCAAATATTTTTTTAGCGACGGCAGGTACCCCGTCGCAAAAAATTCTTTAGAAACAGCTTTTTTGCCGTCGCAAATAACACCTTTAGCGACGGGAAAATAGTGTCGTCTCAAAAAAACTCAGATGTTTCCATATTAATGGCGACGAAAAAATTCCGTCGCAAAAAAGGCAACTTGCTGTCGCAAAAAAAAGGCTCACTAAAACCTTTTTGCGACCCCCCACTTGCCGTCGCTAAAAGTCATCTGTCGTCGCAAAAAACCTTTTGAGACGGCATTTTGAGTATTTGCGACGGCATTTTGCCGTCACAAAAAGTCAATTTTTTTGTATTGTCATTAGCATTCTTATGCTTTGCATTCATTGTCTTCTATGCATCCAAGGTTTAGCTCATCACGCTAACCCAATATCAAATGTTAAAATTCATTGCTTGAATACATGCTTTATCGCATGTCTTGAATGAAATCATATGCCATGCTCATAGCCGAGCCTATTAAAATACATAATGTGTGCGTTACATTTAGTCATATTGCATAAGTCAGGAACATGCATATTTTTCTAACTCTTTCACCTGTTTTGGCTCGGAGTACTAGGTGAGCTTTTATGTCTTAGCATCTTGTATCAAATGTTTGTGTTGTCATGTTAAAGCATGAATACCATGATGCTAATTGCTTAAATGATATAATTGTTTGAATACCTATGGATAAATGCTAGTTGCTTGAACTGGGATGGCTTGATTAATGTCCATTTTAACCCGCTTTTTCAAGTGGCAAATTCACAAAACAATTTCAAAGCAAAACATGAAATCAAGTATTCCAATTTTCGCAAACTAGTTTATACCTTGTGTGCACATCACATAGTAAAAATAGCTAATAAATTGGAGCAAGAACATATAATATAAATAAAAGTCACATCATGATTAGTAGAGGCCGATCTTTGATCAGATGAGTGGAGTGCTCAATTCATGACCTTCCTCTCTCGTACCTAAGTTCTCGAGCCGAGATACTTTGGTGATGACGGACTAATGGCCTTTGGCACGAGTCTTGGGTTTCCTAAATTTTTCAAAAATATTTAGGTCGCGACTCTGAAATCTGGCAAAGCAGTCCATTTTTGGCATTTTGTTCAAAACATCGATTTTCCAAAAAGAATTGCCGGATTTGGACTCTTTTTGTGTTTTCACTGTTTCACATTGCACTTGTGAAATCAGATTCCTAACTGCAAGTAGAGTTTGAACTCTAGGGCTTATTCGTCTTCCGAATGGGGGCATGAAAAGTCGAGCCACACATGCACATTTTCTAACTTTGTTTTGCAACTTTTTGCGGGATGCTAGTAAATACTATGTAAGTGTTTATGCTTTATCATCCTGCTTGTGTGTGTTCTTTTTTCTTACTATGTCTAGTGTCGTACCACGTGACTACATGCTTAATTGATATATCTCTATGATTGCCAGCGGATGGAGGTTGTGTTGTTTAATTTGGAGCAATATTGATTTTTATGTTTGTAGGCTCAATTTAATTGTGAGCTATACAAAACTCAAAATCCTTTCAAAATACATGAATTCAAATCGTTCGAAAATGAATGACATGATTTATACTTATTTGCATCGCATAGTAATTTTTAGGATTATTTAATAATCAGAATATGAGCATATATTGTCAATAAAATTATATCATGGTTTAGTAGAGGTCGATCTTTTGAGCGAGGGAGTGGGGGTGCTCGATTAATGACCTTCCCCCCTCATACCTAAGGTCCCGAACCAAGACATCTTTGGTTACAACGAACACTGGCCTTGGAATGAGTCACGGGTTTCCTAATTTCCCAAAATATTAGGTGGCGACTCTGAGATCTGATGACACAGTCTATTTTTGGCAAAAGTTTTGCAATAAAACGGATCTTCTATAAAAGTTGTCAAATCTGGACTCTCATCTATGTTTCACATTGCATTCGTGAGACTATATCAAAGAAATCAAGGGTCTGAACTGTTTAGCGCGCATGGGTAACCCCCGGGCATGCGACAGCTACTACTAGAGCATCATTGTAGGGATGATGAACCCATGTTAGATCTTCATCAGAGAATGTGATCCTTAATTTGGAACAAGACACTCTTTTGGTGAGGACTTCTGATAAAGCCATCACTTCTCCATGATGTGTCGACTTCCTTATTTCTTCCTTCTTTTGGCTTGTTTACCTTTTCAGAGGGGACTGAATATATCGTGTTGATAATTGCCATCAGTTGCGTATCGCCATATTTGTTCATTCATTTCTCTTTTTGATCAGGGGAGTGGTCAATATAAGACTATAAATGCCCGCTTTGTGCCAATTCTTCCAGAAATTGTTTCAATGCTTTGTAATCTTCTATAAGATGTCTGTAATCCTTATGGTAGGAGCATCCTAACCTACGATTTAAAAGAGATGGATCCCCGATCGTCTTTGGAGGCCAAGAGAAGTAGGGCTCATTCTGGATCTTTGCCATCAGACGGTAAATTGGCTCGGTGAAAGTGGTAACAATTGCTCGGAAAACCTCTTTCCTTGGTTTTGGTTGTTTAGCGATGGCGTTTAATTCCTTTCTTTTGAAGTCAAGAGGCTTCCTCTCGTTCTTTCTTAGAACCCTTGGTGGGAGCCAGTAAGGTTTTGGCTCTTCGGTCCTTTATAGGTCGTCTTCGATCTTGCAGTGCTGTTCCACTTGCCTCATTAGACTACCCACGTCAATAGGTGGCTTTTTCGTTAAGGACCATCGAAGCTTACTTGTAGGCTACAATCCCAACATGA